AAGAACGATGTCATCAACATATACTATCAAGTAAACACATCCAGCACTTGAGTGTCGATAAAAGATAGAGTGATCTACTTCACACCGAGTCATACCAAATTGTTGAACAACCTTGCTAAACTTTCCAAACCAGGCCCTAGGAGACTGTTTTAGGCCATATATAGATTTGCGAAGACGACATACCATCCCAGAAGACTCCCCCTGAGCAACAAACCCAGGAGGTTGCTCCATATAGATTTCTTCTTGCAAATCACCATTGAGGAAAGCATTTTTAACATCTAGTTGATAAAGAGACCATTGTTGAAGAGCGACCATGGCGATAAATAAACGAACAGAAGTCATCTTTGCCACAGGGGAAAAGGTATCTCCATAATCCAACCCAAAAATTTGAGTATAACCTTTGGCCACAAGACGAGCTTTGAGGCGATCAATAGTACCATCAGGTCCAACTTTGATAGCAAACACCCACCTGCAACCAACAACAGATTTCCCAGACAGTAACGAGACCAATTCCCAAGTTCCACTATTATGAAGAGCACTTAGTTCATCTAACATGGCCTGATGCCAACCAGGATGGGCTAAAGCTTCACGGACAGTTTTTGGAATGGTCACAGAAGAAAGAGAGGAAAGACATGTATAAAAAGGTAATGACAGTCGATGATAACTCAAACCAATATAATGAGGAGAGGGATTACGTGTAGAATGGATACCTTTTTGGAGGGCAATGGGAAGGTCAGACTCAGGTGTCACATCCGGAGGAGACAGAGTAGTTGACACTTGAGTAGAGTCACATGGTGGTGGTTGTGATTGTTTCGACAACTATAAACCTGAAGAGGCAGTGGAGAAGAAGCTGACTGCGGAGTAGAATCTAATGGTGAAGAAGACACAATTAGAGGATCACAAACAACAGGAACATTAAATGTACTAGGAGTGTTGACAAGATTGGATGGAGACAGAGGTGAAGATTGACTTTTAAAATAAAAAGAGAACTCATCAAAGGTAACATCTGTAGACACAAAATAACGATTAAGAGAAGGAGAAAAACATTTGTATCCTTTTTGTGATCTTGTAAACCCTAAGAAAACACATTTATGTGATCTAGGAGAAAGCTTGTCAAGACTAGAACTAAAATTATGAACAAAACATGTAGACCCGAAAACTTTTAGAGGTAAGGGATGAAGTGGTTCATGAGGGAATAAAATGGAATGAGGTATTTTATTATCTAGAACCGAAGATGACATGCGATTAACAAGATAACATGTAGTAAGAAGAGCATCACCCCAAAAATGCTGAGGAACCTCTCCATGAATTAAAAGAGTGCGAGTTGTTTCAATAAGATGTCTATTTTTACGTTCAGCTACACCATTTTGTTGAGGTGTATAAACACAAGAAGTTTGATGCAAAATACCATGAGAAGCCATAAATTGTTTAAAAGAATGAGAAAGATATTCATGACCATTATCACTATGCAAAACTCTAATAGAAATACCGAACTGAGTTTGAATTTCATTGAAAAAAGTTTGAAAGATATGGAATAATTCAGAACGATTTTTCATCAAAAATAACCAAGTGCATCTAGAATAATCATCAATGAAAGTAACAAAGTATTGAAAACCTAAAGTAGACTTAACGCGGCTAGGTCCCCAAATGTCAGAGTGAACCACGGAAAAAGGGGACGAAGCACCACGTGTGACACTACGAAGAAAGGAAGTACGACTATGCTTGCCTAATTGACATGACTCACATGCCAAACTAGACAATTTAGATAAGGCAGGGACAAGTTGCTGTAACTTGGCAAGACTTGGATGACCTAACTGAGCATGGAGAAGAGAGGGAGACTCTATAACTGCACCAACATGTGTAAAGGGACGAAGATGATAAAGACCATGAGACTCACATCATGTGTCAATCACCTGTTTCGAACTCCGATCCTGTAAACACACAGAATTGTTGGTAAAAGAAACAACACAATCAAGAGAACGAGTTAGACGATTGATGGATAACAGGTTAAAAGGAGACCCAGGGATATAAAGAACATTATCAATGGTTAAAGAAGTAGTTCCAACACCATGAGATAATACTTTAGAGCCATCAGCTAGTGTAACAAAAGGTAAAGGATCAGGAGAGGATAAAGAGGAGAACAAAGATTTGTTACCAGTAATATGATCAGTGGCTCCTGAATCAAAAACCCACGGACCAGAAGAAGATTGGGTCAGACCAGCAAAAGATGTACCTGTGTGTGCGACAGACACAGTGGAACTAGAAGATTGTTGATCCTTATACCATTTGAGAAATTTGTTGAACATAGCAGGTGTGTCTGATGAAATAGAAGAAGGAGGATCCTTAGCAGATAAAGGTGGGGAAAGATCAGTCTGAGCAACTGCAGTAGATCGAGTAGGACGACCATGTAATGCATAATACTTGTCAATCTTGTGACCTAGTTTGCCACAATGTTCACACTCATGTAATGCATAACACTGGTCAATCTTGTGACCTAGCTTGCCACAATGTTCACACTTAGGATGCCTTTTTCCCTGTTTGTGAGGGCGAGTTCGATCATAACAGTGAGATACCAATGCAGAAGAATCATTAACAGAAGCAGGTGTGTCAGGGTTGGGTTTTGCTGGTATACGCAAAAGAGTGGAGCAGTTCGATGTCAAGGTGGGGCCAACCGGAGAACCCAAAATCTGATCACGAATATGTGAATATTGATCAGCAAGTTCGTGTAATGCCCCTAGCATGAAGAACTTTGATCGTTGTCCTGTCTCGGTGGCAGGGTCGGGAGAATGAGGCAATAACTCATTGAACTCATGAAAAAGAGCATGAATTTTGCCCATATAATCAGTCATAGAATCTTGATGTTTAGAGGCAATAACATCTACAAATTTAGAACAAACATCATAGAGACATTGAGTATCATTGTTGTATAATAACTTGACATGTTCCCAGATTTTGGCACATGTTTCGTAGGAACGAAAAATTTGTTTTAACGAAGGATCAAGAGTACTCTTGAGAACCACGTATAATTGAGCATTAATGGTGTCCCAACGGTCTTCCTCACCAGGAGTGAGAGTAGGTGCTTTCGGGGCAAGATGATCAAGATACTTCTGACTCTTAAGTCATAATCTGACGTCTGATGACCATGTGACATAATTATGGCCAGTTAACTTGTCAATGGATAAGTGCACATTAACATAGTTAGTATAGATGGAAGGATCAGACGCAATACTAACAGAATTGGAAGTGCTAAAAGGAGCGGAAGAACTCATAAAGGGCGGAGGCGATAGTGACAGCGGCGTGAACCAGTACACCAGGTAAGTTCCACGGAAAGAGAAGTGGGTCACTAATGGACATGCTTAAATACAAAGTCTTTCCTTGTCAGAACTTTCCTAGACATGCACTTTCACACTACCAAATAACCGACAGCGATAACGGCGGTGGTGGCGGCTTCAATAGTGGTCAAAGGCGGAAAAAAAATTCAAAATAACCTTAAGCTCTAGATACCATGTTGAATATAGAAGAAATAGAGTTTGAGATTAATCTCCCTTGTGTATAAATCACACATAGGGTAGTCTATTTATAGTAGAGAGATACAACTAAAAGAGTAACTGAAAGTAACAGAATAAACAGAAGATATTGTTTGATATTATGGTTAATATATAACAATATATTAACAATATTAAATAATATCTAAACAATATATAACATTAATAATAATAATAATAATAATAATAATAATAATAATAATAAAATATGTAAACAAAAGAAAAATACTAAAATAAGAAGAAAATGTCAATAATCGGAGTTTTAGAAGAAGAAAAAAAATGTCGAAATAATAGTAATTTAATTGAAGAGTTTTTGAAAGTAAAGGTTTTAGGGGAGAGAAGTGTCCATGTCCCATCATCTATACTAATTTAAGAGATGGTAAGTTATAGTACCAAACAATAATGTTTTTCAGATACATGAAATTTCTAGTCTTCCCCAGACACGTACAATATTAGATGGGAGTAATGACTTCGTCAAAATGTAATGACTATGGCATGTTTGGCTCTAATTTAAAAAAAAAAAAAAAGAACTTTCAATTTTTAAAACTAAACTATTTTAAATGCAAAATAGTTTACTTCAATAATACTCGTATATGCTACTAAAATTCTAAAAGTGATATGACAGACGTTAGCTATTATTAATGAGATATTTAAATACTTTACATCTGTCACCTAATAAAAACTTAATCAAGAAAAAAAGTTAATCATTGCCAAAAATTTAGTAAAGTGGATGTGATTAACTCCTACTGGGTAGTCCATTTCACCTACCAAATAGTCTATGAAAAAGCAAAAAAAAAAAAAAAAAAAAGAAGGGCCCCTTTTGACTAAAAGAAAATGATCACGTTTATTTCTTAAAGCAAAAATATCAATTTGGTGCTGAATGTGGGGTGCTACAATTTTAATATTAGAAAAGACAATTTTAATTTATCTCTAAAGATCATAACTTGATATTAAAATTGTCAATACTTTAGTATTAAAATGGTCTGTAAATTATATTATAATAATCGAATAATATCATAAAATTTAACAATAAAATATTACAGGAGTTTTTACATGCTCAGTAATTAAAAAAAATTGTTCTTTTATTATTCACTAATAAACCAATCATGGTTCTACTATAGCGATGGCTGACCAAGGTATAAATGCAGATTGACGATTCAATCCCTTTTCCCATTATTGCCTCTCCATAACTTTCATCTCTCAAAGTAAAGTAGATACAAGATTACTATTAAAAATGTATCCAACAATTCTAAATTAACATTGATCTTTCCCTTGATACAGAATAGCACAATTATTAATGGATCTGAAATTAGAATCCAATACCATATCATAAACTATGGGAGTAGCTAAACGATAGAGTCCGTGATGCTCTTACAAAACAAGCTTTTTCTTTCTTCAGCAACGGTAAGGCTCGAAGTTATAAAATAAAAAGTGAGCAACAGGAAGCACTGGTGAATGGCGATAGATGGCATGGCTGGCTAGTGTGGCACGTAGCTAGATACTAGGTGATGCATGTCCCACCATAAACAAATTTTCTCAAACTTCAACTTTTCTAACTCCATGATTTCGCCACATGTAAGCACTTCACACACAAAGTCCACGCGTTTAACACGCTTGGTTGGTCCTACAAAACAAGCACCACAACGGTAACCATGGACAAAAGTTTCTCTTTATATCTCAATCCATTCCCATCACTTCTTTCTACAACCCTCTCCTCCACCTCACTTCTTCCACCTCTGTTGCTTCTTTACATCCCTCTCTCTCGCTCTCTCTCTCCCGAGTCTCTGCAAGTTTATGTACACTACACACGATAAAACTTCTTAGAACTTTTCTTTTCTTTTCTTTCTTTCTTTCTTTACCTCATGGAACTTGAGGTACATGGTTTTTGTCTCTTGTTGTTTCTCCTTAGTATCCTTGCGGGGTCTCAGGCCTACACGTTCTACGTTGGTGAAAAAGATGGATGGGTTTTGTACCCTTCTGAGAATTACAATCACTGGGCTGAAAGGATGAGGTTCCAAGTCAGCGACACTCTTGGTGAGATGATTTTCATTGCAAAGATTATCGACCTTTTTGCTAGGTTGTGCATGGTTTTAACTTTTGTGGTTGTTTGTGTTGATAGTTTTTAAGTACAAGAAGGGATCGGACACGGTTTTGGTGGTGAACAAGGAGGATTATGAGAGATGTAACAAGAATAACCCGATCAAGAAGTTTGAGGATGGTGACTCGGAGTTTCAGTTTGACCGGTCGGGTCCTTTTTACTTCATCAGTGGAAAAGATGGTAACTGTGAGAAGGGTCAGAAACTGATTATTGTGGTTTTGGCTGTGAGAGAGCCTCCACCATATTCTCCAACACCTCCAAACGCTCCCTATGTTCCAACTCCTCCAAAGGTTCCTTACCATCCCCCTTATGTTCCAATTCCTCCTCAAATTCCCCCTCCTCCAAAAACTCCTTATCCACCTCATGTTCCAACCCCACCTCAAACACCTTCCCCTGTTTATAGTCCTCCCAGTGTTCCAACCCCTCCAAAAGTGCCTTCACCTATTCATTATCCACCTTATGTTCCAAGACCTCCAAAATCTCCATCCCCTACTTATAGTCCTCCCATTGTTCCTCCTACTCCTCCAAAAGCACCTTCACCTACTTATCATCCACCCCATGTTCCAACACCTCCACAAACTCCTTCTCCAGTTTATACTCCTCCCAATGTTCCACCAAATGTTCCACTTCCTCCAAAAGCTCCTTCCCCAGGTAACCATCCACATCCACCCTATGTTCCAACACCTCCCAAAGCACCTTCTCCTACTTATAGTCCTCCTAATGTTCCTTATCCTCCAAAAGCTCCTTCCCCTAATAACCATCCACCCTATGTTCCTACACCTCCGAACACACCTTCTCCTACTTATAGTCCTCCAAATGTTCCCACTCCTCCAAAAACACCTTCCCCCACATATGGTCCTCCAAATGCTCCTTCCCCTGGTAACCATCCACCCTATGTTCCTTCACCTCCAAAAACACCTTCTCCAACTTATAGTCCTCCAAGTGTTCCCACCCCTCCAAAAACTCCTTCCCCTGCCCACCAACCTTATGCCCCAATTCCTCCAAACACTCCATCTCCTGTCTCCCAACCTCCCTATACTCCAACCCCTCCAAAAACCCCTTCCCCTACCCATCAACCCCCCATTGTTCCAGTAACTCCATCACCATTTTCTCAACCACCTTATGTTCCACAACCACCGAAAACTCCTTCTCCTACATCCCAACCTCCTTACATCCCGTCACCTCCAAACACTCCCTCTCCAATATCCCAACCACATTACATTCCAACACCGCCAAAAACTCCTTCTCCTACTGGCCAACCTCCCTACATTCCAACACCTCCAAACACTCCTTCCCCAACATCTCAGCCCCCTTACATTTCCACACCTCCAACAACCACTCCTTCCCCAACATCTCAACCACCCTACCCTTATGCCCCCACTCCAAAACCCAATTCCCCTATCCCCCTCCCTCCATCATCATCCCCAACTTCCCAATCACCACTCTCACCAACATCACCCTATCCATCCACCATCCCAACTCCATCATACCCACCGACACTTTCACTTGCACCCACTTACCCACCTTCCCCCTTAGCCCCGGCTAATACTCCGCTTCCCTCCACTACATCGCCACCATCGCCTTCTCCGGCAACCGCCACTTCTCCTCGGGCGTCACTTTCGCCAGCAACAACTCTTTCGCCATCGTCTTCCTCAGAATCGTCTTCGAACGAAACGACGCCGGCCCGGCCGAGCGGCGCGTCGTCTGTAGCGGCGCCGCGTTTAGGAGCGTACTCACTAACCATTCTCGTCGGTGCTGCTCTTAGTACCATTCTTGGTTAGAAACCAAACTTATTATTACTATAATTTTTTTTCTTGGAAATTGAGTTGTTGTAGTATATAATGTGAACATTTTTATTTTTTTTTAATATTGTTATTTGGACATATGAGATCACATCTCATAATCAATTTTATGTTGTATGATAATAATCTGAAATCTGTGTATCTATAATTGCCAATTTCTGTAGCTGCTACTTACTGTGGCACCTCTTTGTTCTAGCTTGAAAGAATCAATAATCAATACATGATTTTATGTTGGATAATGATTATAATTGATAAATAATTACTTATTATTGAAACTATTTAAAATAAATGATATTTCTGTTAATAGTGATACACTTCGGAAATATCCAAATTATGTTGAGGGATAAGTTTGATTCTCGTTTTAATTGTAAAACATGATATATAAAAGACTCGTTGATACCACGTATATTAGTTGAATTACATTTTAATAATTTTACATAAAACACAAAAGTTAATCAATTTAGTTATTTAATTTCTTAATATTATTCCAAAGGAAATATATATCACACGTCACATAAATTACATTTTATAAATAAGGTATTTTATAATAAGTATTTACATATTTTAAAAAATATGATGTTATACATCAAAATCAAATAATATGAAAAAAAAATCTTAAATAAATTTATACTTGCATGATTTTTTTTAATACATATCCAGTTAATAAAGAATATAAAATTTGGATTATTAAATTTAAATTTTATAAAAATTATTTATGATGATAGTAAAATACGTGATTATATAAGTAAATATAAAAAATACGTAAATATTTAAAATATCTAACATTTCTCATTAAATATTTAGTAAAAATATATATTAATTATTTACTTGAGTTAATAAATTTGGTCTTAATATTTTTAGATATAATCTTTTTTTAAATAAAATAACGAGTTAACTTCAATATATTTAGTCCAGTGAAAGATAAGATTAAATCTAATGTGAAGAGTAGTATGATTGTCACATATAAGTGTCATTTAAGTGACATCTCTAAATTATAATTGTTTAAGTAATTTTTTAAGTCGTAAGTGGTTGAGATCATAGTTTTATATTCAGCTTCTACACTAGATCTTGTCACAACACTTTATTTCTTATTTTTCTAAGATATCAAGTTACCTCCAATAGAAACATAATATTCGGAAGTAGATTTTACATCAGAAGGAGATATTGCTCAATTAGTATTTGAATAACAGACAACTTTAGTTTTGTTATTGTGATCTTATAACAAACATTTTCCCGGAGATCCTTTCAGAAATTAAGAAATTGACTCACCACACTAACTGCAAAGAAAATGCAGTACTTCTCAGGATCTGAGAGAGGCTCCTCCTAATTAGGTAGGATTTTGGTATTGAGATTCATGGATGTGTCAACAAATTTTGAGTTCATCAACCTAGTTTCTTCTAAAATATCCAATGCATACTTTTTCGAAAATATAACAATACAATTATTGGATTATGCTACCTCAATCCTCAAGAATATATAAGCTTGTCAAGATCTTTAGTCTGAAAGAGGTGACAAATGTGTTGTTTCATCTGGGAGATGTCATGGTGATCACTCCCTTTAAGAACAATATCATCAACATATACTATTAAATAAATATACCTAACACGGTAAAATATTGAATAATCTTCCAATCATAAAATTGTTAAACAACAATGTTAAATTTTCCAAACCAGACCCTAGGAGACTGTTTTAGATCATATAAAGATTTGTGAAGACGACATACAAATCCAAAAGACTCCCCCTGAGAAATAAAGCTTGGAGGTTGCTCCATATAAATTTCTTCTCGCAAATCTCCACTAAGAAAAATAGTTTTTACATTCAGTTAGTAAAGAAGCTATTGTTGAAAAGTAGTCATGGCTATGAATAAGTGAACAAAATTGTTAAAGAGTAGTCATAGCTATGAATAAGTGAACAAAAGTCATATTTACCATTGGAGAAAAGGTGTCACCATAGTTCAAACCAAAACTTTGTGTATAACCTTTAGCCACAAGACGAGCTTTGAGACGGTCAATAATACCATCAGGACCAACTTTAATAGAAAAAACTCACTGTCGTCGTCGTCTGTTCCGATGTCTAGGGACATCTCGAACGTTTATGCAAGCGGTCACGAAAAGATGTTTTAGACTCGCGTTTATTTAAAAATGTGATCATTGCTCCCGAGGTGCTCAACAACTGAACTATCCTCTAATAAAAGCAAGGTTTTCGCAAAAGGGTTCTTATGGAGTCGCCACCAATGTTTTGACCATAAACATTGGAAAAAGATAAAAAAACGTTGATTTTAAGAGAAACCAAACTTGGTCATTATAACCAGAGTTAGGTAAGGGAGTTAGTTACGCGTGGGGAAGGTGTTAGCACCCCCACGACGCCCCTTCCGGGTTCCCTATGACGGATTAATTCATAAAGTAAAGATTAAGAGAAATTACGCTATTACCCTATTTTATTATACAATATTAAAAAATGGCTATCTACATGATTCTATTTTCTATTTCATACATAAAGTAGTAAATAAAGCAATAAAACAGAAGAGCAGTGGAAAGAACCTCCGTAGCAAGCTTTTTATTATAACTCTTCAACTGTGAGGATGCGTTTTGACAATCTCCCGCACTACAAGGACTCTCCTCCCCGAATACAGGACCGACTCTACAAAAATTTTAAGAAGAATTGAATGCCGGAAGAAACTTCCTTAACCGATTGTTACCTTATAGGTAATCGGAGAGATCATTCGATAGAAGGAGAGAAGAGAGGAGTGAGGTGTGTCTAAAAGCGTCCAAATGAGCTCCTATTTAAAGTTTTTTCAGCCTGGCAGCTCGGGACGACCGTCTGGGGTGCAGAAAACAGGGACCGCGGTCTGCAGAGGTTGGGACAACCGTCTGGGATCTGGGAAGGCCGTCCCAAGTGTTGAATTTGGGTGAGACGCGCGTCTCACAGTTGGGACGAGCGTCTAGCCTGTCTGGGACGGCTGTCTCGAGTGTTTTGGCCAATTTTTTTGCTCTGGGACTCCCGGGAAGCTTTCTTTCTTCATACGGAAGCCGATTGATGTCGATAGATGTCCACCGAAGCTTCATCTTCAGAGAGAAAGTCTTCTAGTCTTTATTGAGAGGCCGGGCAAAATTAGGGGTCTACAGCTGCCCCCCCTTCACCTGCCTAACTAATTGTTGGCCAAATGTGCCTACAAAATTAGTTGGTAGGTGAAGGAGTTAACCTTTTTTGCCTGGTCATCCTTCGGATGCTCCTTTGCTGAAGTTTGCTGATCCTCCGGATGATAAATATTTTTTATAGGTACCAACCCCTATCTAGTTTGATGAGAATGAACCTTCTTTTGTTGCAAACCTTCTTCTATAAGGCTCTTGTGAGTACTTACCCTCACCAGGTATGAGCCCGTGTTTGCTAAGCTCTGGTGAGTACCTAGCCTCACCTGGTACGAGTCTGCATTTGCTTAAACTCTTGTGGGTACCTACCCCCACCAGGTATGAGCCCGCGTTTGCTAAGCTCTGGTGAGTACCTACCCTCACTCGGTACGAGTCCGCGTTTGCTAAAACTCTTGACGAGCCCCGTTCTGCAAGGCTCTTGTGGGTACCTACCCCCACCAGGTATGAATCTGCTTTTGCTAGATTCTGATGAGTACTTACTCTCACCCGGTACGAGTCCGCGTTTGCTAAAACTCTTGACGAGCCCCGTTCTGCAAGGCTCTTGTGGGTACCTACCACCACCAGGTATGAATCTGCTTTTGCTAGATTCTTGATGAGTACTTACCCTCACCCGGTACGAGCCCGCATTTGCTAAGCTCTTGTGGGTACCTACTCCCACCAAGTATGAGTCTGCGTTTGCTAAACTCTTGACGAGCCCCGTTCTACAAGGCTCTTGTGAGTACCTACCCCCACCAGGTATGAATCCGCTTTTGCTAGATTCTGATGAGTACTTACCCTCACCCGATACAAGCCCGCATTTGCTAAGCTCTTGTGGGTACCTACCCCCACCAGGTATGAGTCCGCGTTTGCTAAACTCTTGATGAGCCCCGTTTTGCAAGGCTCTTGTGGGTACCTACCCCCACTAGGTATGAATCCGCTTTTGCTAGATTCTGATGAGTACTTACCCTCACCCGGTACGAACCCCGTTCTGCAAGGCTCTTGTGGGTACCTACCCCCACTAGGTATGAATCCGCTTTTGCTAGATTCTGATGAGTACTTACCCTCACCCGGTACAAGCCCCGTTCTGCAAGGCTCTTGTGGGTACCTACCCCCATCAGGTATGAATCCGCTTTTGCTAGATTCTGATGAGTACTTACCCTCCCTCAGTATGAGCCCCGTTCTGCAAGGCTCTTGTGGGTACCTACCCCCACCAAATATGAATCCTCTTTTGCTAGATTTTGATGAGTACTTACCCTCACCCGGTATGAGCCTGCATTTGCTAAGCTCTTGTGGGTACCTACCCCCACCAGGTATGAGTCCGTGTTTGCTAAACTCTTAACGAGCCCTGTTCTGCAAGACTCTTGTGGGTACCTACCCCCACCAGGTATGAGATGTATTGGCGGCTTACTATTTCTGATCATGCGCCTATTTTCATGGAAATTGATTGATTTTATTTTTGACTTTTCTGTCTTAGTCATTCGGTTTTACCGGGAATTCTTTGTTTTTGGCTTTTCTGTTTAGCCATCTGACATGTTGTTTGTCGGGGATTATTTGTTGGTTGCCTTTTATTTAGGCAGGAATCCACTAGAGATTTGTTGATTTTTGTTGATTGTGCCTCTTGATTAGGCAAATGCTTCAATAGTTGTGAAGACTTTTATGCTTGTGTTGTTTTTGCCTCTGAACAGGCTGATGTTCCACTTGGGGATATTTGCTCTTGATAGTGCCTTTGAGTAGGCGGATGCATTGTTGGTAATGAAGACTTTGCATTTTGCATTGGTTTGCCTCTAAATAGGCAGATGCTTCATTGGAGGTGAAGGCTTCGTGCTTGCTAGATCTTTCCTATGCATTCCA